TGCTCGGCTTTCCCGTCATCCCTGCTCGGCACCCAGCGAGCCAGCTCCACGCCGGATCCCGCATCCCTTCCAAAGCCGCAGCCGAGCTTGTCCGTAGCATTCCCCATCTCACGCACTCGCTGCTGGTGCCGGTTCCCCGGCGCACTGAGGAGGAGCTGGGGCCAAAGCTGGAACGAATCCTCCCGTAATTCAGGATGCAGAATTCCTCATTGGCGCCGCAAGCAGGGGCTGGCAGCACCTGCGGGTCCTGTTGCTCATGGTGCTCCTGCCCCACATCCTCCCACTCCCTCTGCAGCACCTTCCTTTGGGCAATCAGAGCAATTCCGGCAGCGTTCGGGACCGGCTCTCCTGGACCCGTTGCAGATGAGGCTGCAATTCCAGAGCGGAAGCTCCTGCTTCTCCCTAACACACGGGGTTTATGGAAGGATGGAATGGTGATGCCTGAGCAGGTCGGGGTGATGCAGCCACACAGGGGTGTCCGGGCAGGCACAAGGACACCCATGGCCAGACCACATGGAGCCCGGCCCATGCTCTGCTCCGCTCCGGGAAGCCCACACATTCCTTGGAATACGTTAATCCTCTGGCTCCCGATGCTGCGAGCAGGTCACGCCAGGACAGCCTGGCCCGGCTGCAGCAACGCCCGCGGCTTCGGGGATTCGGGATTTGCAATCCCTGTTTTCTTGGGAGGACCTTCCCAGGAGCGTTGCTAGAAGGAGCCGGTTGTTACAAGTGTTTGCGCTTTCTCAGGAAACAAGATGGCAAAGTTTCAAGGCAAAGAAACTGTGAAAAACCCGGATCACTTTTAGGAAACCGAATTGATTCCTTAGGCTAAAGCGCCTGCGCCGGCGGGTTCAAGCCCCAGCCCCTCTGCCCTTTGGGGCTCCGATTTGTCGACATCCCAAGGCAAATCCTGCCATCAACAGCGCTAATTAATCCTTTTTTGCATATTCTAGGGAAGGCAAAATTTTTAAAAAATGGGCATAATGGGCTCATTTTGGAAGCGGGCTGCGATGCGGGATGCTGTGCCGGGAGGACGGAGCGGAGCCGCGGCGTTCCCGGGGCTGGCACATCCCGGTGCCCCGGGGCACGGGGCAGGACGCAGCAGCGGAGCCGGGAGGCGGCAGGGACGGGGTGCTCCCAAAATAGCCTCCCCGCTGGCACGGCGTCGGGAAGGAAAACATTCCTTTGCTCTTTTCCAGCAGGGCTTTGGCGGCCGCCTGCTGCTCCAAAAAACGGGGCCAAAAATGAGACCCGGAGCAGCAGCGCTCGCAGGGAGCCCGGGATGCAGCGACGAGCCTGTTCCCACCAGGAAGGCAGGTTTTCTTGGCAGTGTGGGGATATTCAGAGCCCCTCGTCCTTCCAACAGGTCTTCCCAGTGCCTTAGGGAAGCGCTGTGGGTTTCCATGGGTCGCCTCTGTGCCAGCGCTGCTATTTTTGCAGGGCGGTTGCAGAAATCCCCACGTGTGTCTGCACTTCCATCCCGGCCTGGCATCCAGCTCTGCTCTGCCCGGGATGGGGAAAATCGCCCATGAAGGGAGCGGAATCCATTGGTTTTGAGCCCCTCACACAGGAGGAGGAGGCGGCACGAGGGCAGCATCTTCCAAGGTGGAAAATCCTGAGCTTGTCCCCACAGAGCGACCCAGGACCTGGTCCTAGTCCCAGCGCATGAGGAGACAGGGAGGGGCACAGGGATGGGAATAGGGATGAGGATAGGGATGGGATAGGGCTAAGTTAACAAGGATGGGGACAGGGATGGGGACACAGAGAGGACTGAGTTGCTGGGACAGGGATGAGGACAGGGATGGGCATGGGGACAGGACTGAGATGTCAGGGGTGAGGATGGAGACAGGGCTCACATGGGGACAGGGATGGGGATAGGACTAAGATGATGGGGATAGGGACAGGGACGGGGACACGGAGAGGGCTGAGTTGCTGGGACAGGGATGGGGATAGGGACAAGGCTGAGCTGACAGGGACGGAGATGGGGACAGGGCTGAGCTAATGGGACAGGGATAGGGCTAAGATGACAGGGATGGGGACATGGGGAGGGCTGAGCTGCCAGAACAGAGATGAGGATGGAGATGCGGATGGAGATGGGGACAAGGATGGGGACAGGTATTGGGACAGGGCAGACAGGGAAGGGGTTGGAGATGAGGACGTGGAGAGGGTTGAGTTGCCAGGACAGGGATAGGGAGGGGATAGGGATGGGGACAGGGCTAAGATGACAGGGACAGCGATGAGGACATGAGAGGGCTGAGCTGCAGGACAGGGATGGGGACCGGGATGGGGAGGGGACAGGGG